TGTAGTAGTTGTTGTAGTTGTTGTTGTTGTTGTTGATGATGATGATGTTGTTGTTGTTGTTGAGGTTGATGACGACGATGTTGACGTTGTTGAGGTAGTTTTTGTTGATGTTGCTGTTGCTGTTGTAGTTGTTGTTGTTGAGGATGTTGATGACGATAATGTTGCTATTGTACTTGTTAACGGTGATGATGTGATTGTTATAGTTGTTACAGATGATGCAGTTGATGATGATGCCGTTGTTGTTGATAAGAATGATGTTGTTGCTGTAGTCAATGATGAAGGTAATGATGTTGATATTGTTATTGATGAGGTGCCAGATCCTATTTTAGGAAAATGAAATCGATATGAAACAACAAGATTAAATAAAATTTTGTTCGAAACTCAGTTCTTTGAATGAATAATAATAAGATTCAAAAAAATTCATGTGCATTGCAATCTTGTGCACAGTTTTAAATAAAAAAATTTTTATAAAGTTCCAGAGAAAAATTTAGTTTTTACCGATCTAAAACTCCTGAAAAATGCGAATGGCATATCGGTAGTCGAGCACTTACGAAATTTGTTTATTGCATTGATTACTGCCATAATAGACCGATTTTTTTAGTATTTTTTTATATCATCTGTTCGATTTTTAAAGTAAAAAATAACAAATAGATCTCTTTTCGTAAAACGCATATATATGGAATGTAAATTATTCTGTTTAAGATCGAAAAACAACTAAATATATGAATTATTAACTATAAAGATGATATACGATTTGAAACGACTCGTAAATATATCATATACATACTATTATATAATTTAAATTTTTTTCTTATAACAGTTGCAGTATGTTATAATTGGGTTTCGTATATTTAAAATGATCACTTCTAAATATATTATATTTTCCACTAACCGTGTGGTATTCGTGTTTCAGACATAACGATCATACTGATTGTTTCCATATTAACTAACATATTAGCATTTAAACCAGACATAGAATCAAATAACTCACAATTCGAAGTTGGTTGATAGAAAATGGCCTTCTCACATTGAATTTGAGCTAAACAAGTTAATTGACACTCAAATATATTGAGTACAGTCCTAGTAAAGAATGGTAAACAAGCTGAGTTAGGACATTCGAATTGCCAACCAGTCATTATTGATACGTCAAATGATCGAATATCTTGTACGATTGATTGTTTAATGGAAACAAGCAGAAGCAATAGAGAAATTCTTATTAGACTCATAGCTACTTGCCTTTAACTTAATAATATACTTCTAACTCAAAATGAACTGAAGGGCATCTGCTGAGCGATAAACATCATTTCATTTCTTTCTTTTTTTTCCTTTTTCATTGTATTAAATTAACATTCAAAGAGTCGATCGTAATGGTTGTTTTCTTAGCAACATCTAATGAAATTCCATTTTGAAATTACTGACAATATAATTAGTAAGAGTTTTTTTTTAAATTAATTTCCAACTAAAACACGTAGTCATGTATGTTTGTTTTGAGCTCTTACTCTAAGTAAAACATAAAAACAAATTCAAAGTGAGAAAAATAAAAAATACACGTTTAGTGCCAAGTAGAGTTTTTTTTACATAAGATTAGAATTAATTGTATGAAATTTAATACATTATACAATCGTATAAAATCTACATAATATTTTGAAACAACTTCCAATCTTTTATCGTATAACAAAACATTATATTTCTTTTTCTTGTAGCAAAAAATATCAACTCAATATTTTTTATTGTCTACTTTTTTTTAACTCTGTGTTACTAATCTTTTGAATATGATAGGAGAACTAAGAATATTGCATATAATTTCTCCCATTAAGTAGTGACATCACAGTAAACTTTATTTAAAAATCAATTATAAAAAAAACTCATTTTTCTCTAGTTTTTCATAATTTGTGTTGCTGATGGATATTACTATGTGTATTAGTAGCCTTTTGTGCATCAAAAATTTTTTTTTTTGATTTTTATTAAAATATTTGATTTTCATTAAAAAAAAAAAGAAAACAAATTGTTCATCATAGATTCTTTTGTATGTCCTGAAGAATATTTCTATACCATTGAAAATGTGGATGATCTGGAGGTAATGTTTGTTGTGAAATATCTATAGCACGTTGACAATATGAAAGTGCTTTTGAATGTTCACCCATGCTGTTGTATACTTTACCAATATATCCAAAAGACATAGCCAAATCAGGATGACTAGGAGGAAGCGATTGTTGTCGAATTTGTAGAGCGTTTTCGTGAGATTGAAGTGCTTTGGGAAAATCAGCCATACTTATGTATACGATACCAATATTGTTATAGGAAGTACCTAAACTAGGATCCTTAGATGGAAGTGATTGTTGCTTAATTTCAATTGATTTTTCATAAGATGAAATTGCTTTTGGATAATTGTTCATGCTATTATGCACGATACCAATATTATGGTGAGCATCACCCAGTTCAGGATGATTCGGAGGAAGATTTTGTTGTCGAATTTGTAAAGTTTTTTCGTAAGATGAAAGTGCTTTCGGATAATCACCCAATTGTAAATATACCGTACCGATGTTATTGTACGTAACAGCCAGACTAGGGTGATTGGGAGGAAGTGTTTGTTTTTGAATCTCAAGAGCTTTTTCATAAGATGAGAGTGCTTTTGAATAATCACTCATGTTATTATACACCATGCCGATATTGTTGTAGTATGCAGTTAGATCAGGATGATTAGGAGAAAGTGATTGTTGTTGAATTTTAAAGGCTTTTTCGAAAGTTGCTAATGCTTTCGAATAGTTTCCCATGTTAAAATTCACCATACCAATATTATTGTAAGAAGCAATTAAATCTGGATGATTTGAAGGAAGAGCTTGTTGTCGAATTCGAAGAGCTTCTTCATGAGATGAAAGTGCTTCTGGATAATCAAGCACACCATTATGCGCTATACCAACGTCGTGATATGCATTACCCAATTCCAAATCATCGCGAGAAAGTGATTTTTGTTTAATTTCAAGTGCTTTTTCACTAAAATAAAGCGCTTTCGGATAATTACCCATAATGTAATGTAACGCACTGATATTTCTATAAAGAGTAGCAAAATTAATATTATCAGGAGCATATATATCTTGATTGATAGAAAGCGATTTTTCGTAGAATGTTAATGCGTCTTGATATTCTTTTTGATGATTTTTTATCCAACCAAGTTGATAATATATTGGTGCTTTTTCAGTCTCATGATTTGTTTGATCGAGTAAAATTTCATATACATCTTGTGCCTTCTCAATTTGATTCATTGTAAGTAAAACCTGGCCGAGTCTAACCCATCCTTGCTGATCTGACAAGGTTTCTTTTTGAATACGATCAGTCAGTTTACGAAGTTCTTTTTCATCATCACTCGTAAGTGTTAATGTTACTTCATAGAGATGCTTGTTTGTATCTATTGGTTTTATATTGTCAATGTGAAAGATAGTTTGTATCGAGAATAGAACTTCATCTTCAATATGAAAATAACTCACATCAGTAATCGATGCGAATGGTGTAGTTGATTGAGCAGCATCAACATTCACGATGAAGACAATTCCAACTACATCTGGATTTATTGTAGCTTGTTGTGCAGTATCCAATGAAATATTACGATTCTTAGTAGTCAGTAGAAAGTTATTAAATGAAATAAAACCATCTTTGATATTCTTCATTCGCTCGAAATCTCTCTTCGATAAACTTTGTCCACGATAAACAGTAAACGATTTATTAAAATCATCATCATCTATTTGTTCGGAATGTAACCGTTGAATATTACGATGAAGATCATCGATGAAGAATCCCATGCGAACAATGACACCTATATCTAACGATCGTATTGCACGATTAAGCATATGATATAAAAAAGATTTTTGTGTATACCACCATATTGGTTTTTTACTATAATATTCACTATTTAATTGATCGACATTGTCTAATTCATCATCGTCATCAGCAAATACATCACGACAATAAAAAATAAATTCTTCAAGATGTATTTCTCCAAAATCGATCGTTAATAATATTTCTTTAATTATTCGAATGAATATAAACGATGAATCTAGTAGATTAAAAATTGTATTATTTGATTGATCAGCAATATTTTTAGCAATAAAACTAATTGGTATCATATTCTGTTCATATTGATCAACTGTTTGTTCAAGTGCTTCACATAGAGATGGTAGTTCTGTGAAGACACCCTTTATTTTTACCCATTTTTCATACGATTCTTTATTTTTACCAAAAATAAAAATCGCATCTACTTGAGATATATCGTGTATACGAGGTACAACTTGTTTTCCAAATGTATCCGATATAATTATATAAATCTTTCTGTCAGTATTCGTTTGAATGAATTGAATACATTTATTATCATCAGTAAATGCATTGATGTTTGGAACAATACGTTTCAATTGTTCTACTGTATTACAGCAATCAGTATTGTTATTGTCAATGTTATTATCTAACCAAACCAAAAGAATATTTTGTATTCCTTCAATATCAGTACGTTGTCGTACAGTTACATCATTTAAAACAAAAGATAATTGCTTTGACTGTGTTGTATCGTTAGATTTTGATGCATCCATTGATGAATACGTTGATGTATTTGTGTATGAATAAATGATCAAACTTGATTCTTATACACAGTATTCACCTTGTTTTTTTGTTAATTTTTTTCTCGAACGTTACGTATATTTTTCTTTTTATATTCAGGGACAAGACTTTTTTCATTTATTAATACATATCTTGTTATGAAAAACATAATTAACAACGTGTTATCATGCATGATAGAGCACAAAATAACTCATGAAAGAAACCAATTTTCTTCTTCTACAAAGTAAAAAAAAAGAAACAAGGACGATTTTACCTTGTTCTGTCGTTAGTTACATTATTATACAAGAACAAAAAAATTAAAAGGGTTTTTTTTGCAATACTTTGTCATAATCGTGACTCAATAATAATTCGTTTATACAACTATTATATATAGTATGAGCAGCTTCCTTCTTGGTTTTTATTTTCAACGAATAATCAATAATAAAAAAAAATGAGTAATTTTTCATGAGATCATTTTTTGATAATAAAAAGAGAAAGATTACATATTAAGATAAGGAGAGCAGTTTTGCATATCAAAAAATTAATTAAATATGACATTGATACAGGAAAATTAGTATCAACAGATTAGAAATACAATTTCCTTGTGAATATTATTATAGATTAATTATGTGAGCTAATATCTTTAGTCGATAATTATTGATGATCGAATATCTAAACGAACAAAACAATGTGTTATTCATGATATCATATATACAGACGATATTGAGCGATGCGTTCAAAGTTCAATACTAAAAGTACGTTCGTTGTTTCGTTCTGTTCGCCTATATATATATATATACTGTTCAACGAATGAATATTATAAAAAATGATGTTTTATCTATCTTTATTTATCGTATTAATTTTTTGTACATTGTCAATCGAAAATAATAATCATATTCTTATTATTGCTCTACCTACAATTAGTCATATGCTGCGTAAGTAATTTAATTTTGACGAATATATAAAATAATATTTTAATTGATAGCTTCATTAGAACTTGCTAAACAACTATCAACTCATTGTCATGTTACATATCTTATTTCAGCAAATAAAATCAAGGAACTTGAAAGTAAAGGTTTTATTCCCATCTCCAACGTTAACAGAACACTTGATATTGTTGGTTTAATTGATGGAAATGATGATATACCTGAATTTGAACTTCAAGATTCTCAAATTAAACTGAACAATACGACAAAAGTATATAAAAATTTTTTTTTTTCATTTTCTTCAAATTATTATTTATAGCTAAGTCTTGACAATCGTCAAAAATTGATATTTAATAATGTAATCAATCGAATGGGTACAGCACTTAATCAATTATTTCATTCAAATCAAAGTCAATTCTCATTACAACCTCTTACTACTCAACATATTTCTTTACCTATCGATACGATTATCATTCAACCATTTACTCCATTATCATTATCTCAATTTTCAATACCTATTCATCTATTCTTACCTAGTAATCTTGACGGTGTGGGTGTGAATGTGGATATAATAATGACACACCATGGACACCCACACCCTAAATTCTAATTGCAACATCAATTTAGATAAATGAGTGAGTGAGATTCATATAGAAGAAAAACTTTTCCTATAAATAGAATTTCGTATTTTCGATCCATCGGATTAGACATGTTCTATTCATCACTATTTCTCTGTTTAATATTTCTTTTTATTTAACAATATTTTGCATTTCTTGGAGATAAATAATCTTCTATTTAAATTTCTATGAATGCCTTTCTTTCTTTGTTTATGTGATGTTTCAATTAATGCATGAAAATGAAAATCTAAAATACAGTAATATGAAATAATCTCTTATGTAAATAAAAAAATATTTATAAATCAATTGTTTCAAATACAAAATTGCAATAAAGTTAAATAATTTTTACAACAAGATATAATTAACATTGATAGCCGTAATATGATATTGCAGTATGGAAATTCTATCACAAATAACCATTTATTTTAAATCGAGACTTACATGATTAAATTGATTTGTACAGAAAAGTCTACGGCTAATTTTTCATGCTATTTACGTTTTAATGATCTCGAAATATGAAAAAAACAAAGTCCATAGTCAAAATCATGTTTTCGCGACGCTTTCTGTAATGAACAAAATTTCCTGTTCAAAATACAGAAATACTTTGCTTTACTTCGCATCGTATTAACTAGATCCATAAGGTTACATGAATAAAAACAATGCCGATCGTTAAATATGGTTTTGTTTCGAATATTAAAGATAAAAGAAGTTTCATGTAAATCATGAAAGATGACAACATCTACAGACAGACGAAGATCAGCTAGTAGTTCGTTTGAATGTGAACGATGAATCAGTAAATACTTTACTTGCACTATTTGTTCTTTAGACTCAGAAACAAATAAAATTCTTTTTCTATTATGAAAACATCTTAAAATAATTAGTAAAAATAACCATTCTACACTATCATCTTCTTCTTCTTTATATTGCTGAACCAAATTTGATAACTTCAAAAAGTATGTCCATAAACTAAGTTTTTTGTTTCATAATGAACTCCAACATTTATTTAATATTCTAAGTCCTATAAAAAAAGAAATTAGATAATTTCTTTTTGGATTCATTTGTAGTATGTGGGAAATTATTAAAATAACATAGCAGACAATAGCCTCATGTCATATACGAATATCTCGGTATATTCCTAAAGTTTAAAAGAATAAAAACTGATTGAATAGATCGTTTATATGATTTTTCTGATGGTACCTAATGTTTACATCATCGTTCATTCAAGAAGAATGTCTAGAAAAAGGTTATCTTTAACAACTCGAGGATCAGTAATGATCTGTCGCGAAGTAAAATGCATGATTAGCCATTAACATTAATGTGTTCATATTTCTTGAGGAAAAAAAAGGATTTGTGATATTTCTACATTCCATAAGTAAATTAGAGAATTAATTTCATACTCTATAATATTAATTAGTGTCATTGAAAATATGTGAATAATGATATTCAAGATCTTTTGTTCGAGAAATGACGAAACTTAACATATAATCGAGCAAACAAAATGATATTTTAGATGCGTTTATACTTCAAAATAATAAATGTATAACATATTTAAATGCTTCTTGTAAAATTTTTAAGAGATAAACAGTAATGGATAGGAGAAGCAGGTAAAATAGAGTTATTTTTGTCTGGATATCGTTCACGAATAATAACATTAATTCTATTTCACAGACACTATTGATACAAAGGAAAAAAAACTTGATTTTTATATTGTTCTTCTTTTAAAATAGAATAATAAAAATATGAATATCTAATAAGTATCTATTGAGATGATACGGAATCAGATTTTAATATGCATAGCTACAAAATAACATCGTGTATATATTAATTTCTATAAAGACAATGGAAAGAAAATACCCTGTGGAGATGACTATCTGTTTGTTTAGATTAATTTTAACTTCGTTTGTTTTTGTCTCATGTCAATATGACGATGAATTCTCATTCGAATCACATAGTGCGCTCAATCAGGTAAGTAGCTTTCGTAAAATTGATGCTGGGAAGAGGTTCAGCATTTCTAACAAACATGTGTTATTCTTCTTGAGGATGTGAGTGTGGTAATCGCCAAACACAGCCAGACTTACATCCACACCCATCGATGGGTTATTGAACACCATATACGTGCTAAACATTCATCTGATTCAGATAATATATCAAATATTATACTTGAAATTGATAAACTATTAACATCATCAACAAATGGCGAACCAATGACAGCAACAAAATCTTCATCAACATCTGATCAAGATACTTCAACTTCGGCAATACCAAAAGCATTTTCATGTTCAGCATGTTTACTACAATCATACCGTTTATGAGTTATTTTACGACGTATTCGTAATGTTCATGAAAATGATAGATCAGATGCAAAAATTATTGATAATATTAATAATCAAGTAAATGAATTTCTTTCTTTTTTTTATATTTTTATTTCATTCTTTTTTTAGATAGATAATTGAAGATAATGATGATATCGAAACAGATAAACCTGTTAATAGTGTATCGTTGAATACTACAACAATAAATACCAATGATAATGATGATGAAATTCAAAGTAAACAACATGATGTAAATAATGAAGAAATACTTAAGAGTACGTCTCTGAGAAATCCAGATGATCGTGAAAGTTCTACC